AATCTATAGTATCCTCATCGTAACCGTCTTCATTCCGAACGATTGGGACGAGAATCGGCGCTGCCGAGGAAATTATTTTTTAAGTATCAAGTTCGCGCGTGACACTCGTCTTCACTCACGATGATCGCATTAAAGATTTTCTTCGACAACTTTGTTTTATGAAGAGAAAGAATAACTATTATGGAAATAAAAAAATTGCTTTTAAAATATTCGAGGTCGAAAGTCACTTTATAAATCATTTTCATTATTAATTTCTCATACTTTTTTCTTATATTAATTGAAATGGAATAGCTGAGAAACTTAATAAAAATCTACTATTTAAGTTATTGATATTTACATATAAATTAATGAACACCAGTCTTATATAAATAAGACAGCGTGCTTATTGAATTAACTGCAAAATTACATTATCGTGATATGTAATAAAAATAAAGAAGAACTTCAATTTTTACAGTTTTTTCGTGTAGCTGTGCCACCTTCCTTTCTCTGATATGCACCTATTTTAATCGAAAGAATGGCACCGCAGACTCGTCGAGATATTATCATTAATTGCGTGGCGTTTTAGTACATTACTGTGACTTTATCGGCGCGATCTGTCGCGATTAATACGATAGGGCAAATTGCGATTAGAAAAACGCGTTTGTCGTGTCGTAACGATCGGACGGCATGTCCGATATTGCGTTTAAATGCACGCGACAAAATGCACAATGCAGATAGAGCCCGTTGATAAAGCGACGAGTGCAAGTGCAGCTCGTACGGTTTCCGAGATCGCGGTGAGATTATCTTCAAACGGTGACGACGAATTGTTCTTTCATTAAAAAGAAGGGTGTTAATTCTTTTCTTAAGGAAAACGATTTTTCCGGCATTGTGACAAAACCGAAGATTCTTATTGTTTATGTCGTAAGAGCAACATTTTCTTTTTGATTTATAAGCATTGTACCAGTTCAAATATTTTATTCATACCACTTCTTTGAAGTCATTCTGTAGAAAACCAATATAATATCGGTAAAAGTTGAAGCAAAGTCATGCGGAGTCCTTTGTGATAATGTACAATGTTACCATTTCTGGCATAAAGAAAAGTATCAAACTAAGAAATGTAGGAAGGAAATGAGCCCATGCTGGTTGTTATTACAAATGTATTTGACTTGCATGATAATATCAACAAACGTTTCAACCTACATCTAAAATCTACAATTCGGACACGTTAATACATAATGTACTTGATTAGGAAAAAATCGCACGCAATTTTTATGACAAAGGCACACAGCGCAAAATAATTGAGGTTTACATGTTTAGTGATAAGCGTTGTTATAATAGTAGTTAGATTCTTTACAATCATAACACTATTATAACAATGCTTATCACTAAACATGTAAATCTCAATTATTTTGCGCTATCTCTTTGTCATAAAAATTGCGTGTATTAATATTTGACTTGTAAAATTGAAAACGTGTCTGAATTTTAGATTTTGTATTGCTCAACACTGAGGGAAAGCCTGATACAGGCTGAAACGTTTGTTGATATTATCTTGTAAGTCAAATACATTTATAATAATAACCAGCAGAGGTTCATTTATTCTCTACATTCTTAGTTTGATATACGATATATCAGAAGCCTTAATTAATAACTTTATATAAAGAAAAGTTTCTTACATATTTTTCGTGAAATAATAAAAAGATATAAAAATATTGGATCATCAACGATATGTATGTTTCATGCAAGTTAACAAATACAGAACGATATTTGTAATAACGATATTCTATAAAATTTATATATCACATGTTATGTCATGTATAACTATGTAACTGATACACATTGCATTTGATTACATTTTAAAATTCGAAACAAAAGCATCGCAAGGGAAACAATGTCAATAACATTAATATTCAATTTTCCACGAAGAGATTCAAGTGAAATTATTTTTATGCAATGTTATCGTGTTGCGTTTACAACTCGCACTGCAGTATTTTACATCTCAATTTTGCAGCCTTTCATTGAGCCAAATTACTCAAATTTGATTATCCTCCGCAATGCAATAGCTTGTCACATTATCATCGATCATGTGTGATTTTATAGATAGGTACATTTTATCTAGTTCCTTTTAACAATTGGTGATTATTCGGCAATTTTACAAGTTCGGCTTCCGGAAATGCAACCAAGCAACTTGGATCAAACTGTCTGGCTGTTCGTTCCCTCCGCGTTGGTTGACCGGTCTGTGTAGACAAGAGGATAGATAAAATCGGTATTACGTTTAGGGACACGCACGTGCAAACCTATTAACGAACGCATGCTCACGCATCCGAGCCGCTGGGCGCGTATATTACTCACACATAACACAACACACTCAGAAACACCGACGATCGCTGTGATTTACGTGCCGCCACGCTACTGCTACCTCGTTCCCATTCCCACATTTCGTACCATCCTATTAACTTTTGCAGCCGTACGTTACTATAAAATTTTGGAAAATGGTTTGCTTTCTGTTATATCTTCCGCGAACAGCGGAAATATTCAGGTTTTATCGAGGGAAAGAAATAATTTTTAGCGTGATTCAATAATATATCAGTTTTTTAGAATCGTATAATAATTATTATTAATAGAATTTTATAATAATAACATAAACATTGTAGCAATAGTACATTATTGTTTATTTTATTATTATAATTATCAAATAGTAACTTGTACATTTTTAAATAAAAATATTAGTTTCAGTTATATAACACTTCAGTATAACACTTTTAAGTGCCATGCCGTTCCAATTGCTTCTAAATATTTAATATTCTCGAAGCTTTAGGTTTATCTTGATTGTGATGAAAAAATTGAAGCTATACTCACTCCATTCTTAAATTTCGCAGCAATCTCAAGGTAGAGCAAGAAAGAGTTCACCTAGGTAGTTATCTTACGCGAACGCTTTTTTTAACGAGCATCTCGGTTAGATTGCACGGACGTTAACGATATTTTAATTGATAAAATTTTGCAGACGCCAGTAGATTCTAGTGGGGACACAAATTTCCAATTTTCGCTGTCGCGAGATGGCGAAAAAGTTTAATTGCCGGCGTCCCACCGACGCTGTTCGCGCGGAACTTTTTAAAGCATTTCCGGTCGACTTGGACGGCCGCTTTGCTGGTTCTTGCGAGGAAAGTTAAACGAAAAACTGTAGCATTCAGCGTAAGAAATGACGAAATTATTTTCGAAAATTATTTAGTAACAGTGCTAAATTTTTTTTTAGAGATTGATCAGAGATCGATGTCTATTCGGTGTTATGATTATTCGCGCTAATTTAAAAAAAAAATTAATCCATTCTTAAGAATCTCTAAAATATTTAATTCTAATTACGATTCATTCTATGAACAACAGAGATCATTTCTCACTCATTCAATACAAGTATATTGCATTTAATGAGCTTCCTATGAGATGTTACATCAAGCGTACTCGACTGTGCGTGTTTTACAGAGTAAATCATAATTATTGTTACCTTGAGTCTCAGCCACGTTATCGTCGTCGACCTTCGCGCGACTAAGAAGTTATCCGTTCTCTTCTCCGAAGAAGCAGGTCGTATCTGGTAAACCAGTCCAGGAAGTTTCATTTCAAATGTACAGCTCGGATGAGAGATTGATGTCATATCTTGATACTGTATCATCCGTTACGTGGAATGACGTTTGCTCTATCGATACCGATTGTCCACACAAACAAGAATATAGTTGTATATTTTCTCACAGATTCTCTCCACGCAGATACTTCTGAAAAATATCTTGCAGAATCTACGCTTAGTCATGCCGCAGTGCATATTTCAACTCACATTGATTTGCTCTCCGCGTGTTGTATATTTTCCACAGATATTTGCTCAATGCTCGTCACGAAAAACTTTCATACGATCATAAAAACTTTTTCTGCTTTTCTAAGTGTATGAAGAGAAATATTTGTATCTATTGATAATCAAAATATCTCATACTCGACGCACTAAAATAAATAAATAATTAGAAATATCTATGTTGCGAAGGATGGGCGTATTTGACTTTATCAGCTAATCACTCTTGATCAAAATTGATAAATGTTCGATAAGTGGACTTTTCTCTGTAAGAATTTTGAACATTGAGATAATGGAAACGTTGTCAAGTCCTCGATTCACACAACATTTGGCCACAGTACAACTCGCCGCCGCAAATGCGATAATATCACGCACGTTACCGTTGCACTTCCGATTATAGTGCGATAGTGGGGTAAAGGCACGTGGTCGCAACCCTCTTGGCGCGGAACGGCACCCGTCGACGAAGGTCGTCGCCGTTGTCGAAGAAAGAAGGAAATGCATGCGGTGGTTGAATAAGGCAGAGTAAGGGCGATAGCATTGCGCGCGGTTGCGCGCGCATACTCGAGTCACGCTGCCGGCGGTGGGTCGTAGTCGAGCCGCGTGGTCGGACTGCTTCAGTAACTCCGAAGCGTTGTAACGAGAAGGTTGTGTTCGACGAGCGTCTGATACACGCGACTTCTTTTTTTCGGCATCCGGTGAATCCTTCGGGATATTTCTATTCTATCTCGACTTCTGTCGCTTCTATTCACATCGCGAGATGACATCGTGATCAATCTATTTATCATACGTTTATTGTTGAGCGCGAGTTCGCAAACGTGTTAATGTAAACTTTGAATTATCGTTTCGTAATAATCCAACGTAGACTGTCTTTAAAAAAAAAGTGCGACGGGTGAAAATAAAGTCGCTGTGCACGGCAAATTCCGGAATCATGAGAGCGTTTCTTCGTTGCTTCGCGTTCGTCACGGCGACCGCGGTGCTCGTCGTGTCGGAACCGAATAACTTAACAAACTCACAGGTGACGATTCTCAAGTGCTGTAGATACGGTGAGGCGTTGCAACAATCAGACGACAATTCGGATGAGATACCGCATTGCCAACCAACCAAGACCGTTTGGAAGCCATTAATTTATTCGCGGAAATCGCAAGGTTTTGTCTTTATACTTGCCGAGTGGCGTATTCTTGACGGTCGAAGACCGGAATGTGACGATCAATCGGAGTTGATTTTTCTACCTTCTCGAGTAAGTGCTCCGGTCTTCCTAATGGAGGAGGACGGAGCCGCGATGCCGGACCCAAACAATCCCGACAAAATTTCCGCCAATCATTACTGTACTGATTCGAATGGGCTGCTTACATGTGAAAAAAAATCCATGGGCAATCATGCCGCCGCGACCATGAGACCGCGAGTACGACGATGCTGCGGCGAGAATGCCACTTTCAACCAACAGAGGTAAACTTCTCGCACAACTTTGTTAACACTTGTTCACGCGGTCCGAAACAACGCAAATCTTGAAAAATTAGGTTAGGTTAAAGTGGAGATAACTTTATAAGAATCAATTCTATCAAGATCGCTTATAAAATTAATTGTAGTTAATTTTAAAATGTTTTTAATAACATATTTAGAAGAAAGAATTCTTTATTCACCTTACAATTACTAATATTATTAATAGTAAGATTAAAAACATTTCGTATTTGGGTGTTACAAAATAAATACCCAACATTTTAGACAACGATTTGTTTCTTTGATGAAACAAAGCAAAGTTTTCTTCATATTTTGAAATCGAATCGCTGCTTAGCAGCAACTAGTTTATTTATTGGGCGTCTTTTGAGTGAAATGTATGTGACCTTGACGTTCACAGGCTCATAGCTTTCTGACTTCGTTCGAGTGTTGATATTGCATGAATCGATTATCTAGTAAATTCTAACGTTACTATTCAATAAAATTGCTCACTTGAATTAAATATAGATAAATATTTAATTCAAGTGTATAAATTAAGTATAAATTAAATTTAATGTAATATTTAAAAAAGCTTTCTAATCACGTTTTTATATCGTATATCGTGTAACCATAGAATGCAAAAGAAGAGTTTACTGTTTATTGATTTCACATTCTCACGTTAACGATAGGAAATTTATATTAACGCATGGAAAAAATCTTTTTTGTTACAGAAATGCATGCGAGCATTTGACGAAAGAGATCGTTGATGCTCCGCCGCTATTGCCAAACGCGTCATCTGTCGTCGAGATCATAACGGGTTTTCCTACTTGCCCGAAATCAGACAACTTCACGATTCTTGGGGATACGAAGGATGCTGTGTTGCAACCCGATGGCGGTCTGGAGATAAACGGGATTGCTTTACCTACCAGCCAGTTTTGCGTTGAGAGGATTAAAGAACTCAACCAGATCGCCAAGGTGTTTGCCTGTCCAGAGCACGCACCACAAAGGTTAGTACATTAAAGTTAAGATCTTGCATTGCGCTATTGTCGTTCTTGTTGCACTTCCTCCTGCGCGCAACGTGATCCGTAAACAAAGATAAAGAATTCTCGTGTGTATTAAGATAACATTAAGATATCTGGTATTCGACACAAAGTGTACTTACTATATAAAACGATAAGGGAAAAGAATGTTCAGACAACTAAGAAATTTTTTAGATAATTGAATCTCGCCTTTCCTAATTCTTTCTGTTGTTTCTTGTTGATATCTCGGATTTCTGTAACATATGTTCGAAATCCGAGATATTTTTTATGTGATAAGCGATTTTAATTCTAGTATATTTTCGCTACGTGTTTACTGTAATATTGTTTGTATTGTTTACGCATATGGTTATTGATTTGCCATACTATGTTACATATTATAATTATAAGGTTAATCTAACCTAACCTAACCTAACAATATTTGAAAGCAATATTCGAAATAAATATTTTATTGTTTAAATTGGAAAGAAAAGTACTATATTAAATATTTAGTTTGCTTTTACTAAAATATTTTAATATTTTCATATATTATTTTATCACATTTTTTTCTTAATTAGTAATAACAGTTTTTTATGTGATATTAATATATTTCAAAAGTGTGCCGTTTTAATCTAAAACTTTGACAGCAGTTGCATGTGTAAATTGCAGAAAATTGAATATTGATTCGTCAATGCAAAGTCGATTCTCTTGTTCTTGTTCGGTCTATCTTCATTTATTTGCCCAATGAAGAACAAAATTGAGCTTGGCCAGTTCCGGCGACCAAGTCGTTCGACCCACTTTAAAGCTCCGAGCACGATCCGACTTTTTGCCCCGTTAAATATTGCCTGCTCCGATCTGAATTTATCACACGGCTTAATTGCACGTTTGACAGTAGATAGCTGCGCAAACGATAAACGGCACCGTTTCTACGTCATCATTCTTGAGCACGCCACGGCGAGAAAAAGTCGGATCCTTGTCACTTTCACTCCTCTTTGCGAAGTATTTCTAGGTCACGTGTGTTCAATCCCACGTCATCCAAGATTCCTTTGAAACGTTTTCACAACTCGATGATGCGTTTCCGCACAGCAGAGCGATGAGTGATGAAAATGTTTTTTTCCATATGTATTATGTAAGAAAAACGATATTGCGGAAATTAGCAATTTATTCTCAAAGTGCCGATATAATCGATAAAGTTCTGGTTTTTTCTTTTTCAAAGAAGTTTTTCTTCTAAAATAACGTTTGAAAAAGATTTCTTTTGCGATTAAATATAAAATAATAATTCGAAGATAATGGAATGTAAACATCACATAAAAGATGTTGATAATAATTTTTTTTATTTTATATTATGACAAATGTGATAATAGCATATTTTCAATAGTTAAAAACTCTATCCAAAATTCCTCTAAAAAAATGAAACCATCATGCATATTTAATATAAATATCGTCAGAAACTAATGATACACACAGATTTTTATATTGCATAGCATAATTCGACAAAATATTGCTAAAATGATTTGTGCGTTTATCGTGTACGTCTGTATACGTCGCGTAACATAAGATAGGGTTAGAATATCTCATTTGCTGAGACATGTGCATCGTGCTAAGGCTAAGGATGGATTGACGGGTAGACACGTAGGACATCGCTGATAGTAAGATCCGAGAGTTTCCATTCAGACGCAGTGTCATGTAATGTCGCGTGGTACATACAGAGCCAATTCCTATCTATATAGAATATATCATTACCGTAAGGTATGCAAATGAACACTACGTGTTTATTTCCCGGATTCGAAGTCGCGGTACGCGTCGACACGACGTTTGCGAAATTACAGGGAGAATTTATGGCAGTTTGCAAAAGTTTAATCACCGGTAGGTGTACAAAGTAATATCGGAAATGCGATTAACGCGCACATTTGCGCCATGTGCAGGATCAATTTTGTAGAAAGTCGCGTACGTACACGCGTGTGTTTCGTTCGTATTCTATTTGCGCTTTGTATGTACATACGGGCTGGTTGATCGTTGACATTCTGTTTCTCGTGAAAAATTTACTTGCGAACAGATTCGGCGAACGCCAATCAATGAAACAAAACACAGCCGAATACTACAGTCGCATACTGGGTTTTTGCATCACGAATGCGTTACGAAGACAGTTAGTGAATTATTGCGATTTTTCTCTCAGAACGGAATTACATCAATCTGAAACCAATTAAATATATGAAAGATATGTTGTTTATACGCCTGAAACGTCACGTAATTGAGCAAATTCTGCAATAAATTGTAACTTTTACAATTTCTTGAGCTTTATCTTTGCAATACGTAATTTTTAAAATGTTTTTGAATTAATACATGCGCAAGAAGTGTACTTATAATGTATTAAAATAAAAACATAAGAAAATGGGTAATTATATTTCTAAAAAAATAGGCATTTTTTTGCATTGAAAGCTGTAATCGGAATACAACCGCAATGATACTGATTTGTTAAAGAAAAGAAATAGCAATCCGAGATACAGATGTGTAAATTCTGGAGTTAAAATTTAATACAATATTATCGTAAATTTATTACAATTTAATGTTTTGCAGTTTGAAGATAAAAAATATTTTATTCAAAATTTATTAGAATAATATTTATTACGCGTAAACTTCTGTTTCACGAAGATTTCTACAGCTATAACGAAGTTAAAAATACTAGGCAGTCGTGGAAATATTTTCTGCCACTTTCACCCACACATACTATGCGTATGAGTAATACCTCGATGCAAATTGAAACTGTCACAAATGATTTTGACATCTATCCATTCTAAACGCGGTAGATTGAAAAGTCGTTAGTCGCAATAAAAAATTGTTTTACGCGGATCTTTCAGGAACCTTAATTAAAAGTGGACGTAACGATCGCCGATAACGCGGTATTATTTCCGTTATAAAGCGTCGATCGAATATCTGGCTCAGTGCCCACCGCTGGCAGTGAGCCAATCGGTCAATTGCCGATGTGACGCCGATAAAACTGCCCGAATTTAATTAATCCACCAGCGTGAGAAATAACTAATAGGGCCATAATTTGTCTTCCTCTTCTGCGGTTTCTTTTTACGGAAAATGTCGACGGTATCAGCGGAATTTACATATTAAATGGATAATCTTTCTTTTCATCGTTAAGTAAAGAAAAAACGATTTATAAACTAGGAAGTATAGTTTGTAGGAACTTATATGAAAGAAAACTTTATCACAGAAGTATAATAGAAAACTATCATTATATTTTTGTTAAATGTTATCGTTATCGCATGAGGTTGAGGTTGTAATAAATTAGGATCTGTGAAGTTAGCACGACATTTTATTAATATAAAAAAAAAAAACAATTACAGTTCCAGTAGCACTTTTCATAATTCTACAGTTATACAGTACTACAGTCTTTATAAAAATTACGGAACTTTTTATTATTTTTATAAGGAACTGTAGAGAGAACTATGAAAAGTGCTACTGGAACTGTAATTGTTTTTTTTTTATATTAATAGAATGTCGTGCTAATTTCACAAATCCAATAAATTATATGTGTGTTGTTTGGGTTTGGAGTTCGTCGTTAATTGTTACGTGAGCCTGAATTACGCGTTCATTTGGGTCTTCCATTAATATGTGAACGCATAATAAAGCATAATATCATAGCTACTCAAATTAAATAATCCTTCGTTATTTAATACCTGTATTGAATTATTTGCATTATATGTGTACAATAGTATATATGCTTTGTATTCGGTGGAACTTTATGAATAAATGTCTAAAATTAAAATTAAAAGATAGAATTTAAAAATTATAAGATAGGAAAATTATATCTTATTGATTACATATAAAATTTTGTAAAAATGATAAACAATACAATATTTAATAGGTATCAGAAAAACATTTAAAGAATATTTTGGATTGCTAGACTTTTATATAAACGTCAGATAAATTTAGGTAATGCTAACGTCAGTTCGTAAAGTACATTAAAAATAGCGTTTTAATCTAAATTTTCAGACCCGCGGTGCAAGCGACGGACATCAGATTTACCTTATACCCCTTGGGCTTCATCATTAGTGCCATCTTCCTGGCCGCCACCCTGGCGGCCGGTTGTCTGCTACCAGCCTCTCATCACGTTCTGCACTGGCGCTGCCAGACTCATCATGTCGCCTGCCTGATGATGGGCGATATACTCATGGCCATCATTCAACTTGCTGGGGATTCCCTTCATGGTGTAAGCTGCAAAGCACTCGGTGAGTCTCTCTGCTTATTATTACCTTGTTAATTTTTTCATCACCGTTTCTTGCGTCTCGAAAGCGTCCTCTGAAGGTTCTGAAAGCGATATAATTACGATAATTTCAAGTTTGAATGCTGGGTATGGAAAAATGAGAAATACAAAAGCAAACCTCTCACATTCACTACTTCTTTTGATATTAAATCATATATTAACCATGCAATTTATTGCACAACTTTTTGTGGATTTTATTCGAGAAGAAGCGTGTTGCAAAAGCAATATTTAGAATTGTGGTATAATTTTGAACATGAACTTTGCTCCTGTATTCGTGCATTGCGATTTTAAAAATTACACGTTACAAAAAATAATTAAATTGGAGATTACGTATCTTCTATGCAAAAATTTGAATTTATCGGAATTATTAAATTGCTGAAAAAAATTGCTGTTTTCAAGTTCTATCTTCATATGCCACATTTCAATTTTATCCGGCTGCTATAAAGCAATCCGCGATCTTTCAGAAGATAAGCGAGGGGCTGGGATGTTTGTTGTTGGAATTTTCCACGACAAACTACATTTAATAGCCGCGTAAACGGAAAAAACGGACGTTTTACTGTTTATCGATGCGTGACGATCAGCCAATTCGGTTCTTTTATTAACGCTCATCGGTATGAATTGGAAGCGATGCGACTCGGATTAAACGAAATTGAAAAACCAACATGATTTTCGCGATGAATGAGAGTCATATTAAAAAGTAACAAAGAGAGAAATGATTTCGGTGATCTCGTCAAATTCGAGGACTATGTAGATCGAGTAATTTATTTTTTTCCAATGATTTTATTTTCTATCATTTGTATATGAATATATTGATCTTTCTATAGATATATTAGAGCTTTACAAGGGATTGCCGATTATACGCACAATGTCAGCCAGTGCAATTGAATGCACAGATGGAATACGAATTCGGCCCACGATCGAGGCCGGCTTTATTTGCTGGCTCGTCTCCGAAACTCCGGGGGTAATTATTCGGATAATCGTCGTAATCCCTCGTAAAGCTCCGCTCCTCTCGGCTCGTTCCGATCGCGAGGATCGATTAGTGCGTACATCCGTGCAAGCCCAGCTTCTCCGCGTTGTAATGGCGCGCAGAGGCTCTCATTTGCATGAAGAATCGATTACACAGATTCCATCGGGCCCCAAAATGTTTTTCCTATCGTGATCTGCGTTTAACCATTTGTTTTTACAAATTGACGTGACTGACCGAGTAGCTCTTGTCTGAAGTCTCTTATTATCTCACACGTGTCTTCTTATCTTCTTAAGCGTACTAAAAAGGAAAATATAAATTTTTTAAAAGCATTTAAAAAAAATAAGTTTATAAGAATCGCATAGATTAAAAGTAAAATATTATCTGATATAAATATAAAAAATCAATAGTTTTAAGACTGGTGAATTATGAGAGAATAAGAGTTAAATGCACTTTAGAAAATAATGCTGATATAAAAATCGCAGTAAACTTGCGACAGTTACATATTTTCATCGTCGATCACTCACAAAAATTGCAGTCATCGTTAGGCCATTGTATGATATGTTATTTTTGGAATAAGTAGTCCACTGTGATCGCATAAAACAAAAATGGAAGTTTTTACAACTTCCGCTGAAGTAATTCCCAACTAAAACTAGTTGTGAGGCCATGGACCTTCTCGTTCCATGAAAACCGAAGAAAGGAGAAAGTGGAACGTAGCGGCGTGTTGACCTACAATCTCTTTCTATCTTTCGACATTTTCGGTTTTTCTCTTCTTGATTCAAAGAAGGAACGTAAATTCCTTCTGAAATATTTTAATTGCATATTAACTTTTTAATTTTCAATATGTTATATATTCTCAAACTTTCTGAATATGACATTTTATAGCAATTAATAATATAAAAACGTTCATTTATAACTCATTATCACAAAGAGTTAATTATACCGCAATTATTTCTAGCGTATAAAATTCTGTGATATAACGCAAGATTAAATTTATCGAATTATCGACATTCTGCTGATTCAATGATTCGCCAATCAGCTTTTTTGCTATCGGAATGAAACAACTATTTCCGGTTGGAATCGATTAAACTTACATGATCGCGTTTCTGTTATTGCGTTGTATTATATGAGAAATCATGCCCTCCTCCACAATTCTTGCGTACTCTAGCACATTTAATTCGCACACACACGCATTACGTGTCTCATTACGACGACGTGAATATAACAGTATTACGATGCGAAGTCACATTGCGTTGAAGATAGGAATTCCAACGTGCCATCCCGCGACGACGATAACGGTAACAGAAATTCATTTTATTGCGGAACAACGTTCCTTTGCGTTTATTGTTTCGCGGAAAGAGCGCGAGAAACCGCTCGCCGATGCGTTCACTCGCGTATCCAACAGCCTTCGACCGACAGAGGAATATCGAACGGAACACGGAATGCATCACGATGCAATTTTTGAAGCATGCTGAATTTTGTGGCACGATGAACCGGAGAGTTCATATTCGTGGCGTTCACCGCGATACGAATATGCGATAAATGCAAAATTTTTCGCGCGTTCAGTGGCATATTTCCTTCCATTTTTTTTTATTCATATAGTATCGAAGTAATCCGATCTGTGTAGTATTTAAATAATCCAAGATATTGAATTTTTGCGAGAGGGATATGCAAGAATTTTGTGTATTTCTCGTATAAATTATGTTGGGTAATACGGATAATAATATTGTGTCCGTAGAGGCCGGTGCGTTCAATATAATATAATAACGAATTAAATTGCAGATATCATATTTGAATTATTGAGTAGAGTGGAAAATTTTATGATACCATAAAATGGTGTCGATCGATCTTGGCGTTACCGCAGGAATAATGAAATATTTTATATTCTGCTTATAATACAACACGGTTTACAATTTTTGCTATTCTATTATCATTGAATAATTGAAATACAGTATACATATTTTAAACTTATATTTGACAAAATAATATACAACAGAACTAGTTATCTCTTTCTCTTATTAAATTTCAGATTTATATTAAACTCGATAATATTTATTGTTGCTATGTGGAAATTAAATGATCAGATTGCAGTTCACATAATATATTCTGCAGTAATTAATATTGAAAATAATCCAATAATCCACATATAACATTAAGCACTTTGCAAACTTGTTTCCCGATTGAGGTATCGAATAGTAGTGATCTTGTAAAACATGTTCAATTAATCGCATCGCAAACACGTTGCAACTCGCGTGGCCTTCGACAATGGACGCGATTACACGAACACGCTGTCGCAATTCTTTTCTAATTGAATCCATCTGCGATCGTATCTGTCGTATCTTGCCCAACGACCAACGCGATCGTGTACTACGCGATCGTGTATTACGCGTATCATCAATTTTGCTCTCTTCGACGATCCGCAAAGCGAGTAGGTAGCAGAATATAAGAGCCAAGTCTTGGCGCGCCTCTTTCGAATCCCCCCTTTTCCCCTGACCTTTCTCGCGGTGCAGTCTCCTCGGAAAACATCAAGGATGGAGACCCTCACCGTGACTTTGGCTTTGACCGAGAACTCTAATGTCGCTCAGACATTGGGCGTCCATTTAAGGAGAAAACGCGCTGCCGTAACGTCGTCTCGAATGGGGGAACGAGAGAGTAAATCAAAGCCTCGTTGCCTTTTCGAGACGTTGTGTACCATGTTATACGCCGATCTGAGAGACGGGACGTGAAAGCGGATTTTACTTGATTGGCAGGAAATTCCTGCTTTTGGGAAATCTACTATTCACGCAAGACCGTTCAGACGAAATAATATTACCGCACAGTAACTTACGGCAAATCTTATTTCACATTTTCTTTATCAAATCTTATAAAATAAGAGTGTTCTGCATAAATCATATATTATTAGTAATACATTTTTGAATTTTCTTATTTATTTTTTACAAAGCTTGGAAACTTTCTGCGAATCGATCAATTTTCTTATTTGTTTTTGTATTTTATTTAAATCTTATAATCTGTTGACATTATCATATTTTTTTCTTTTGTCGAATAATTTGAAACGACTTGCCGCGTTTTTATTCGCTGCATAAGGAAGCGATATCTATAATCTTCAACGAGCGACGACACCAAGGAAAGAAACTGTCGACGCGATATCGTCAGAATTAATGTCGGCAAAAAGCAACGCGCGCTTCCATGTCACGAAAAGTCACGAACTTTTGTCGTCTGGAACGGGATTTGTCGCGGTTAGAGACTTTCTTCGACTTTTCATCGAAGAAAAGATGTTTATGTCTGCCAGATACCGTTAGACAAATACGGAAACTTTTGTACGTTCTAGGAATTATAAAAAATCTTAAACTACACATTAAGCAGGAATTTATTTACAGGATCTCATAATCCTTGATGTACAAAATTCAGATATTTTTCACTGATTTTAACAAGTTTAAAATTTAGTTAGAAAGAGTTTTTTTTTTACATTTGAAAGACAGTTAAATCCTAATGATAGTCATAGCTTTCGATAAGCTCTCACCATCGTAGGCTCTGTATAGTGTAACGTTCTGCACCAGGCCACCCATTAACAATGAACCCTTTATGACTATTAACTGTTACGCTTTACGAAAAATGCTGACGCACAGAACAAACGCAAATAAACAAATTACTGTTTCGCGTTTTTTCAAGCATGACTGATAAACACACAAATGCTTCCAACTTGAAACGTTTAAAAAAATTTATACCTAAGATTCAGATATTATTATTAAAAAGCCGAAAATTTATTTCTAACTTAATAATAATTCGGAAAATAAATATGAAGAGGAAAATTATTCGTATCAATCGACGAGTGAGACTGATGTTTATTCATGCATGCGGTGGTTCTACTAAATTTTCCATTATCTCCGAAAACTTCGCACGTCGTGAGAGAAGCGCCAGGAATACCTAGAGACACCGTAATCTTTGCCCCACTTTATCTCACTGTGAGCCAGGGAGATATCTTTTACCTAATTCGAGAAAGT